CAGCACTCAAATCCCCACAAGCTCAATCTAAAATCAAAATCAAATTGGGACCGGACCGGGTCAAGACCGGAGTGTATCCAATCCAATCATTGGTCCTTATATTACCGAAAAGACCGGACTGGGACCAGATCAATTTGGTCCAATTTAACCGGACCGGACCGTATAGCCACCCCTACATATCACGAATGCCAGGGTTGGACAAAAGGTGGTGGAAGTGCTTTGTTCCCAATGCTTTGGTAAAGATGTCCGACAGTTGAGAAGAACTGTCTATCCTCAATGGCGTTATCTCCTTCGAAACCACACGTTCACCCACGAAGTAACAGTCCATCTCGATGTGCTTCGTGCGCTCATGAAAAACAGGATTAGCAGCAATATGTAGGCTGCCTGGTTGTCGCAGTGCGGAGGTGTCGGTTGTTTTCGTGGTACTTAGAGTTCAGTGAGAAGGAATCGCAACCACAGAACTTCACTGATAATACTCGCCATTGCTTGATACTCCACTTCAGGCTGAAGACCTCGAGACCACCTTCTACTTCTTTGTTCTCCATGAGACGGGGGCACCTCCTATATATATAATACCCTTGTGGTTGACCTTAGAGTCGTCTGGCATCCACTCCAATCCGCATCACAGTATGCAGTGAGCTCAAGCGACCCATCAGCTGGGAAAACCAAACCCTGTCTTAGAGACTTATTTAGATATCGAAGGACCCTCATTACCGCAGCTGCACGATCTGGACTTGGACGATTGACAAACTGAGACAAAATTTTAACAACATATGATATATTAGGTCGGGTTACCTTAAGGTAGAGCAGACGACCCACTAATTGTCTATATTTGCTTACATCATCTACCATGTCCTCCGCCGGCTTTGTGAGTGTATGATTTTGCTCCATGGGAAAACTGATCGAACGTGAGCCTGCAACACCTACATCTTTTAGGATATCCAAAGTATATTTTCATTGACTTAAAACTCCTCCATCGGGTGATCGGGTCACTTCAATGCCGAGGACGTATTTCAGAATCCCCAAGTCCTTGATACTGAACTTCGCATCCAAGAAGCTCTTAATTTGGCAATAAAATTCTTATCAGTGCCTGTCAAGATCACATCGTCTACATATATTAAAGCCGCAGCAAATGTCTCTCCCTTGCGATATATAAGTAGCGAGCGATCGACTTTAGAGGGGCGGAAACCAAGTTCAGACAATATGAGGGTAAACTTCTGCTACCAATTACAGTATGTATGCTGCAATCAATAAATCGACTTCTTGAGTTGAAAAACTCGCGTGTCCCCCGCCTCGTCGAACCCGGGTGGCAGTTTCATGTACACCTCTTCTTCAAGATCCCCATGCAGAAATGTGTTATTCACATCCAACTGATGCAAAGGCCATCCCCGAATAACCGCAATAACAATGAGAACCTGAACTGTGACAATCTTGGCCACAAGAGCAAAAGTGTCATGGAAATTGATACCCTCTATCTGAGTGAACCCTTTAGCAACCAAGCGCGCCTTAAATCGTTCAACAGAGCCATTCAGATAATACTTGACTTTAAAACCCCACTTTGCATCAATAGCCTTCTTGAGAGGCGACAAAAATGTCAATTCCCAAAACTAGAAGTTGAGTTAATAGTAACTCTTAATGAGATCGATACTCCATGTGGAGTGAATTACTTTACTTTGGGGGTACTTCTGATAGACTCACATGTGTGAATGTGGGAGTGGGGCCGCTCCTTATGAAACTTTGGAGGCACAAAGTTGCTAGAGCGTTCACTAAACCAGGATAACATGCAGGGCCACAAACGCACGAGCTAAGAAGAGAACACAACTTAATAAGAAGATTTGGTGTGCTACACTTTTGGAACTAGGAGTCGAGACTACTAGTCACCCTTATAAAATTGAAAGTGTAACCGCTATGCTGAGATTCAAATCTTCGCGATACCTTAGCTTATGCCCGATCTTATGGAACTCTTTATACTCAGAAATATTTTCAAAGAGCATAAACACAAACGAGAGAGTGTTCAAAGAGCTCCAGTTTTTGCACAAAACTGTCGAGCACCCAAGAGGATTTGTTTTTATCCTGGAGACGATCGGTTGATAGTCTGTCGTGCACAACGAAGGCAGTGTTGTGAACGTTCTAAAGAAAGCGACCTAGTCTGCGACTCAACTCCAAATTCGGTAATCGTTCTTTTTGTTGTTCTGTTGCTAACAATAAGTGCCTTAACTTCTCTTGTCATAGCCTCCCGCCAACGAGCATCCCTCATGACCTCCGAGAAGTTCCAAAATTCTGCCATCTTGGTAATAGCTGCAAGGTAAGCTTTATGTTCGGGACGAAACTGACGGTAACTAACCTGGTTTGACATCGGGTAGTGAACCGTGGATGCATCAGGAGCCTGACCAGGTAGCTCAACATCTTATATATTTACCAAATGACTTGGTGGATGTCTCTATCTAAGTCCCTGATGCAACATGGGCGCATTATGGCTAACCGCTGAATCAAGAGCAGCGATTTCAAGATAGTTGTCACCAAGCTCGTCATGCAATGAGTCCTCACAGCTCTGTCATGCAAGGCACGCAGATTGTCCCCATCGTGGTCATCTGGATCGGCCAACAGAGGTCGAGCGAGGAGCTCAAGAGAATCATGTGAAAGAGTAGGGTTGCAAGAGACATCGCAGGTGGGAGATGACGACGAGACTACTATAGCTGGCTGACGCTCACGGTAAGGAAAGTTTTCCTTGATGAAACAAACATCTCGTGACGTAACCACCTTCTGCGACCTAGTAAAACTTTAAAGGGTATCTGATTACCAAGTAGCTTGGAAGGTAGACGGTTAATGAGGTATGTGGTAGTTAACACGCAATCTCACCAGAGACGCACATGTAGCCCTTAATGAAAACAGAGTGCCCTGGCTGTTTCGAGAAGGTGACGATGTTTTCGTTCTGCCACCCCATTTTGCTGCTTATTTATGCAGGAAGTCTGCAGTAAAATACCATTCTCCTCATAATACTGTCGTAGCCCCGCAGACTGAAATTCCAAGCCATTATCAGTCTAAATCCGACACATCTGATAGAAAAACGGGACATATCGCTATACATCATATTTAAATTTCAACAAATAAACCCATGTAGCTCGACTAAAATCATCAACTATCGTCAAAAAATAACGGGATCCATCCAAAGCAGGGGTACGATAACCTCCCCAAATATCCATGTGAACAATCTAAAAAACTGCAAGGGTCTTAATCGAATGTGAAATAAAAGGCTTTCTAGTGAGTTTGGCACGAAGACATGAATCACAGTGATGCTTCTTGCGTCTAGAATCCGATAAAGACAAACAAGAATGTAAAACTCCGAGCTTCTCAATGGATGGATGCCCCAACCTCGCATGTTAAAGCTCTGACGTGACTTTATTGGCCGCTCCTGTGAATCTGGTGGGAATCCCATCATCAACACGAGCTCCTAGCTCCCCGAATCTTCTAAGGTAAAAGCTCGTCATGAAGATGACCTAGTCCAATCGTAGTCTTGGAGCATGAGTTCTGAATCACGCAAAGATCAACGACAAATGTTAATGTCACAACATTGTCCTTTGTGAAACAAATGACCGAAAGCAAATTACACTTGAAAGTTGGCTCAAGGAGGACTCAATTTAACCGAAGGCGAGAACTCAATTGTGTTGATCCTATACCCATAACTGGGACACTCGAGCCATCTAGAATTCGGACTGGCGAATGATGGTCTTTAGTGTTCACCCTATCTAGCCAACTAGAGTCACGCACAATATGCTCATGACATCCTGATTCGATGATCCATTCAAAAAGTTCGGGAGAATTACCAACCATGTGCTCAGTAGGTTATGAAATCAGAGGCATGGTCGGAGTCGGTAGCTGTTTCAACTGAGCAAACTGTGTTGCCAACAAACCTGTAATCGGACTCTCTTCATCTTCCACGTTCGCATCATGTGGCTGTTGCTTCCCCTTAGTCTTGTCGTGCCGTCCATCATTACCGTGCTCTCATTGGAGACCCTTACCTTGATCATTGGGGTACCCGATCAGTTTAAAATATATTTCGTGTGCCATTTCTTGTTTTAGTGGATACAACGAATAGGTTCCTCCCCGGACTCCCTTTCACGACGGGTTAGGAACGCAACTACTTCAATCGACAGACGTCGTCCACTCGTAATATAGTGCTCTCGCTCCTCAGCTGCAACAAGCTGATAAGCTTCAGCTAAAGACGGTGTTGGCTTAGTGAAAAGTGTTTACCCATTTGTTTTATTGTAAAGGTTAAATTTGGGTGTATTTTTTTAAACAAAATGTAAGAGTAAGTCGACCCACTCCGCTCCATAACTGCACGGATTTACCCACCCTTACTCGCATTAACGTAGCACGGGGTATGGATACTCTGCCCTTCCCAGTCCCATTTTCATCACTATTCACTATGAGAGATAATAAAAATTCCATTGTTCTAATATTTGAATGGACTTTCAATTTCCAAACCATACATGCGTCTCCATTAATTTGGGTCGAACCCTTCATAATAATCATATTGGCTTTACTAGATTTAGGGGTTGTTTGGTTTCTGTGATTGTTTGGTTGAGATTGTTACAATGGTTGTATTGTTTACAATTCATCGTTTTTCTGATTTTCTATACACAGACAATACATGTATTGTTTACTTCATGTGACAAAAATAATCATTAATAATAAATGATTGTACAATCTCAGCTATCTCAGTTTTTAGCTGAGATTGTGGAGATTGTACTTGTTGAGATTGTTTTTTTTCTTTTTCTTTCAACTTTAACCTTTAGAAGTTACTTTTTGCATTGGCAATGAGGGATACAAATGACATTTTTGTTAAAAAATTACTTTCCCTTTTAACAATTGAAAACACATTCACAAATACCATACACTGTAATCTACAATATACCAAATTTAACAATACATGTATAATATAATGCATGTGTTGTTCATGTACATCTATTTAACCATCAGAAAAACCAAACCAACCCTTAGTCCACAGCAGCATTGCAGCAGTCAGCTCGAGGAGCCGGTACCTCCACTACTCGGCTCGTTAGGGTTTTGAGTTTTGACAATTCCAATTACTAAACCCTATCTTACCTCTGCTTCCAATTCTCCTCTCCCTCTCTTCCTGACACCAGTTCCTCTCTTCCGTCGTCTTCGCTGGGATTACGATGGAAGCGCCGCCGCCGACGGAAACCGGTGCTAGTTCCGGGACCGTACAGAGGGCCATCGCCGCTCTTCAGGCATGGCGAGCTACCAAGCTGAAGACCCAGAAAGCTCAACTCCTAGAACAGGACGAATTCATGTACGTTGTTATCTCTCTCAAGAAGATCCCGGAAAAGGGCGTCGGCCGAGTCAAGCCGTACAAAGTCAGTCTCCCTCACCGCCTGACAAACCCTGAAGACGGAAGCTCCGAGCTCTGCTTGATCATCGACGACAGACACAAATCTGGTCTCACCAAGGAATCCGCCAAGAAGAAGATCGATAACGACGGGATCCCCATCTCCAAAATCATCAAGCTTTCCAAGCTCAAGACCGATTACCGCCCCTTCGAGGCGAAGAGGAAGCTCTGCGATTCGTATGACTTGTTTCTGGCCGACAGAAGGGTGCTCCCTTTGCTGCCTAAGATGTTGGGGAAGGAGTTTTTCAGGAAGAAGAAGATTCCGGTGCCGATTGATTTGAAGCACAAGGGTTGGAAGGAGCAGATTGAGAACGCCTGTGGCTCTGCTCTAGTATTTGTCAAGACTGGTACTTGTAGTGTTGTGAAGGCAGCGAAGCTCTCGATGGAGAAAGATGAGATTGTGGAGAATGTGATGGCTACCATTAATGGGGCTGTTGAGAAGATTGTGCCTAAGAAGTGGGGTGGTGTTAGGTCTATTCACTTGAAGCTGCTCGATAGCTTGGCTTTGCCTGTGTACGAGGCAGTTCCGGAGTTGAAGTTGAAGATCGAAGGTCAGAAAGTGGAGGTAGAAGAGGAGACGGAGAAGGAGCTGGAGAGAGAGAATCTTGAGGAGGGGAAAACTGGGAAGAAGAAGAAGAAGGGGAGAATTAGCGAGATTCGGTATATGGACACCAATGGCGATGCTGAGGTTGATGGCGAGGAACTGGCAAGTTATGGTGACCAGGAGACAGAGGCTGGTGGGATTAATGAAGTTGTAGTTAAGAAGAGGAAGAAGGGAGTTAACGAGGAAAGTGAGAAGAGAGCCAAGAAGGTTTCTAAAGTGAAGAGTGTGGATGGCGCCAAACGAAAGAAGGATGTCAGTAAAGGGACAAATGAGGCAGCCATCAAGCTAAAAAAGAAGAAGAAAGTGTGAAGCACAAACAATAAGCTCGGGTTAATCATGCGTCGTGCTGCTTGTTAGACATGGCCGCAAGTCCAGTATCACTGCCTCTTTGTTCCGTGTAAGCAATTTTGGCCTTCTGTTATCAACTTGTTGAAGATTTAAGCTTTTATTTAGTTTGGGAAGATAGTCCTTTTTATTTTGGGTTTAGTCAATCAGACTCTGTATCGTCATGTTCAATAGAGAATGAGAAACTGAATGGTAGAGTTTCTAATTGACCATTGTTGCAGAATTGGTTACTCTTTGTCACTATATTTGCCCTTCACCTATTTCTTGGACACTTCAACTTTAGTTCATGATAACAACAATCGTTCTCCATCAAGCTCAGCTCTACATTTGTGCTTTGTGTCCAACCCCCACTAGTTGGTGGCTTTCTAGTGTTTTGCTGACGTTGCACTAGATACTACCTGGTTAGTTTCACGGCTTCAGATCATATTTTTCATAAACAAATGTGTCTTTCTGTGACCTACTTGAAATTACCGTGTAAGTCTATGCAATGAGTTCAGCCATGGCTGCACAATTTGAATTCAAATTGTCGCAGATCTGCGAAGACAGATTTCAGGTTCAGAAGCTGTTATATCCCAAGAGGGTTGTTGATGAGGGCCACAAGCGTTCTGGGTAGACAGTCATACTGATGTGGACCAGGAAAACCTTAAAACACAATACCTTCTTGTCTAAAGAACCTTGCCTAGGTGATTATGATACAGAATTCTACTAATCTTAATGTTTACAAGTGAACTCGGCCGGTGCTGCAAAATAGAATGGTTCCGAGAGGGTGGTTGTTGAGCACCGCAGGGGTTGTGGTAGACAGTCCTACCGATGTTGACCAGGCATCTAAAAGCGCAATACCTTTCAATGTCTTCAAACGAACATGCGAATGCTAAGTGATTATGATATATAATTCCACTGATCTTAGTGTTTACAAGTGGACTAGCAATAAACTTTGGAAAATAAGTTGCTTAAGGTTTGTGATGGCATGGACGGAGTGCGTGACTTAATACCCATGTTCTATCCGATGATACTACATGTTGGAGTGTGTAATATCCGTGCGTAACTTAATACCCATGTTCTATCCGACGATACTACATGTTCTATCTTACATGTTATTTGAAAAATATATATTCAAAATTTTACTTTTTACGATAAAACAAAGGAGAAAATACTTTATGAATGAAAATAGTGATAATAGAGTGGGTAATTGAGTCTAATTAGTTGAAAGATCGAGTCTAACTAGTTGAAAAAGTCAAAATAGAACAAATATGAATAGATACGGTAGGAAATTGAGATAGAATGGGGCAAGAACGAGGCGGACGGGGCATGGCGGGTCAGAATTAGATACCCAGCTCCACGCTATTACGGGTCAGGTAATACACGGCCCATCGCAGGTCAGGTCGGATAATACATGCGGAGCGGGTTCAAATTGAGTTTACTACTAGAAATGAGTTCCAATTGTTACTAATAGGATGACAATGAGACGAGTACCCATGGGTAAGACTAGCTCCGTACATCCAACATTATAATATCTAAAATTTTATAAGTAAATTTCAATTTTAACATTAAATGCATCTACTATATCATGAAGTTGGCAACAAGACAATCATTCTCAATAGGGTTTAAAGCATCTTATACTAAAACATCAGATCCAAGCGATCTTTTCGTAGGCGTTTGCCCCCTTCTTATTTAATTAGGGCTAACAACGGATACGACAAGACCACTTGCTATTGGTGTTTCACGATAAGTATTGGAAATGAACGGAGAACTGGTGGAACGTGGGGAACCACATATTGGAATTCCTTCCTTTTTTTACAGGACTTCCCTATTTGTCTTGTGTAGAGTAGTTTCTCTCCGATATGGTCACCACTGTGATTAGACAAAGGTCTATGGCAACTTAGTCTTCTTTCTACCACAACTTGAATCGGAATACCACACCGACCTTTCTATAACTCCAAGTACCCTTTTATAGTTCAGGTAGGTTTAGGTATAGCAGGACTTGAACCTGCGACCATTAGGTTAAAAGCCCAATGCTCTACAACTGAGCTATACACCCCCCAAATCCTACACCTTTTTAAATCCAATCATAGATATTATCCCATTAATCCCTCTCTTCTTTTTTCTATTAGCCTTCATTTGGCAAGCTGCTGTCTCAAAGGTGAACACTTTTCGAATTCTCGGATTGGGCTAGTTGTCCTATGCATTCCTGAATAACATTGTCTAGCACATCAACAAGTTTATTCAGTTCCATCTCTTTCCGGACCAACCCCTAGTTCTTTCCGTAGGTCAAGAACCACATTTGAAAACTTGCTTGCCCACTGGAAAGGCTGAAACTTGTAAATGGAGTTAAGATTTTCTCCCTCTGTATATCAGAAACCATTACACTAGCCTTCTTTAGAAGATTTTGAACTAGTAGTTTATAGGTCTCCTTACTGATAGGTAATACAAGGGATCTCCCAATTCGTAATTTCTTAATAGGAGCCTCCTTTACTTGACCTGGAGAATGAGCCACTTGTTGGCAGATTTTAGAAGGATAAATAGATCCCAAAAAAGATAGACTTACCCCAATCAATTATATTTATTTGGCACATCGTTGTCAATATGAATGTTAATGTGTTGAGAAAAACACACTAAAAAAAGACTTGTAGTTTTTGTAACTGGAACGTGTTTTCTTAAACCACCCATAAGAGCCATAATTTGACTCTTATCTGGAGAATAGCTCACAATACTATATAGCTGAAAATAGCTAGGCCAATTTTGAGTCCAATGGCTAACTCATAGAAACGATGAGATTGGCGACTTGCCTTCGATATCTCAATATTCTTTTCATATCTGTATTCTACTACTTTCCGCGGATATACTTCCGAAATTCGAAGTGAAATTTTTGATTTTCATGTTCCTACTCGTCGTGGGAAAGAAAAATAAGAAAGAAATGATCCCCTGAGAGCTTGTCCAGTACCTCCAGTACCCAAAATACATCTCCTTCACCCCCCTAGAGATAGGGATTACTTTCTTGTGGTAGTAATTGCGAATGAGCAAGTAGGGGGCGACAACTAAAGAGCTAGCAAGACTAACCACAATTGCAAGAATAGGTTTACTTTCAGTTGCTCTTTTACACGTAAACATGAGATTGAGATGTTTAAGGTAAGATATAGTATAATGTAATCCACATTATTATTCTCTGGCTCTGGTACATTTACTAAGTAATAACTTACATAATCTTGTTCACACGAGGGAAAAAGTGAAAGAGTGAAAGGAGAGTTGATGGAAAGGAGTTATGTTTTGATTTGGGTGGCCACTCAATTGCATTTCTACTATTTATTTTCTTGAGTTCCCTCACTATTGTTGATAAGTTATAATTTGATCCATTTATTTTTTATATGTGAAGAAATGCTATTGGTGGAGTGGTTAAAACCATACCTACTCCAATCAATGTGGGAATTCCCTGCATTGAATGGGTCGGGAGCAGGCAGGTACCCACGGTCATGGGTTTGATTGCCATCCCTAATTACTAATAGTCTAATATTAGGTTACCTAATTCACTTACATTGCCCCAACGCTCCCGTGCTAATTCGGTAAAACGCAAATTTTCCGTAGAACATCAAAAAGTCGCAAATTTTATACGTACAGAGCGCGATTTTCTAATTGAAGAGCGCAGATTTAGGGCCATCATCATTTTTAATGAATTAGCAGTGCAAGAAGCAAATACTTCCTCCCACCAACTGCTCTTGCCACTACTGTACAATCAGATGAGGACTGAGCCAAGGTGTTACTCACTTCCCTTCAATGCCGCAATGGTGGAGGAACAGAGGTGGCAACTTGGGTGGGCTGTGAAGCGGACCTATTGGTGAAAGACGTAAAGAAGCTACAGACAGAAATTGAGAAGCGATCCGTGCGCCGACGATTTAGTACAGACAAGCGCAGTGGAGGCTGGGGGATCTGAGAGCAGAGCAAGGGATAACAAGGGTGGACAACAAGCTAGGGTATGGTTATGGATGGTTGTTCCAGGAGATACTCAACTTCAATTGTCAAGAAAATGCGTTCTCATTACCTAACATGATTGGAGTTGTCCGATCAGAGGCTGAGAGTTGGTAGTCGATAATCATTAGCAAGAACTAAGAATCACCTAGCTCATCCGCTAAGTTAAAAAAATTCTTAGTTACAACCATGGTTCAAAAAGGCACGCTTAATCTCACACTTAGGCACGCCTAGGCGCAAGGCAATAACAAAACGCCTCGTCTAGGGGTTTCACGCCTAATTAGATACTAGAACACGTCATGGAGTAAGGAGACATATAAGTCTCTCCTTAACATTACTAGATGGAGCTAGTAAGTCAATATTAAAGGCCAAAAATTAACATCAACTACGAAATCAATTTTCTATTGCAATATTTTCAACAGCTCAAGAACTTTGTGAGCTATTGAGCTATGATTCTATGAATTCGTGAGCTATGTTCTTGTCATTAAGTGTTGAGTAAGTTATTAATCATTTTAACTGAAGTGAGGAAGTATTGTAGATAATTATTTCACTCATCATGCAGTGCGAATAGCTATTTTTCTTCCAACGCCTAGACACACTTAGTCTACGTCTAGGCGAGCTAGGCGCAAGGCAAAGGCTCAACGCCCGCCTTACGCCTAGCGCCTTTTTGAACCTTGGTTACAACAGACTGACATAAAGCAAAAAATAAAGGTAATCAAGAGTTTGAGAGTTGCAAACAATAATTGAACACTCTTACTGAAAGCTAAGTGGTTTACCAATGATACCTGCACACAGTTCTGTAAAATTTTGTGTGTTTTTTTAAAATGTAATGACTAAATTTGTCATGATGAAAGAAATAAAGTATAATGGTTGAGATTTTGTCTAAATCAAAAGCACACAAAAAATATACAAAAAGATCAGGTCGTTTGGATGGAACATTTCCAAAATGAGGCAATTTGGATCAAATGTTCCATTTTAGAAAATGAGACAATTGTGTGAGATATTTGTACATAATTGACTTGTTTGGGTTATTATTTGATACGAGACAATGAGGTTGAGACATTTTCTGAAAATACATTTTTACCCTCATTCTTTTATCCTTCTTCTTCATCTTCCTCTCCCACTCTTTCTTGCTGGAAGTCCATGAATTTCCAGAACTAAAAGATTGATAGGCTTGAGCACGAATTATGGTGTTGAAATTGAAAAGCCCATGGCTTGGTACCAAAATCCCCTTTGCCGAGAACACGGATGAAGAAAGCAAGAAATGGATTCAACAATAAATCTCTCTCTCTAATTTGGTCATTCGGTCATTGCCATTGCCCTGTAACTAAGAAATAGCATACCAACGATGTGGCAGACGATCGAACCTTCTCCGAACCTTTCTTCCACGTCCTCCGGCGATAGATTCCGATCTCGCTCAAGATAGAAGCTCTTCGTCTCCTGTTAATGCTCCCTTGATCTCTAGGCTCTAGCCATCTGGAACTATTTTATACCCAAAACTAGTTGGGAGAGAAAGAGAGAGAGAGAGAGAGAGAGAGAGAGAGAGGCCTCGGTGGTCTCTACAGGGGGAGAGTGGGAGAGGGGAAAGAAAATAAAAAAGGATAAAGGAAAGTGGCAGCTTTGGAAAAAGTAAACATAAAACGAGGCAATTGAGAAAACCTCCCCCATACCCAAGTATTTTCAATTGTCTCATAATGGAGCAATCTACAATTCCCCATGTACAATTGATTCATTCCTTTTTTTGGTAGCCAAATGAGACAATTTGTTCCAATTGTCTCATTTTGAGATATTTGTGTCAAATTGCTCCATAAGAAAGATCCATCCAAACGACCCCATATGTAAAACTGAAGAAAAAAAAAACTCACCTGTCCAAAGGGAGATGTTCAAACTATTGTTTTTATGAAACAACAAACAACTTTATACGTTTTAATCAACTTCTTTCATTGACTAACAGCCCTTCAAAAACAACAAAATAATTCAAAGAATGAGTAAATGAAGACCTCATCTAAGTTTGTAAACGGATGAGGAATTGGACACACAGCTTGCAAGTCTACAATACAAACAATCATCAAGTGCTAGCTTGAACTAATGTTTCATTGAAACGGTCAGAAAGCAACCTATATATATATATATATATATATACCTGTTTATTACACGCTTTCACATCATAGTGGCTCAAATTTTCTTGAGGAATTTGAGTGGAGTCAATGGATAACTCGCCCAATGCCCATCCTAGCAAACGGTATGTACAAATAGTAGCATTATGATCAATAGGAAGCTAACTATTTCGCACCATTCTCATAAAAAAAAAAAAGCTAATTGCCGCAATACTACTCAATCTAAGAGTTGAAAACCACTTGAAAAGAATGTGAAACGCGGAAAAGGACTTAATGGACTACCTACCATCTCACCCTTAAATGCCTGTAAATAATGCATGCATATCGGGTAGCCATTGAAATAAGGTTATATTTTCCCCCCTAGATCGAAGTGAAGGAAGGAAGAAACATCAATTGACTCACTCAATGAAGAAGGTCTTCTTATTGGAAGACAATTAATTAATAATAAAAAGGAAAGAAGGCATCCAAAT